AGTTCTGGGGACCCAGGGACGTTTATCTCCTGTAAAGGGAAGGGGACGCTGTGAGCTGGAGCTCATTAGGCCCCACCGCTGCAGAGTCCCTCCACCGGGAGGCAAACCCTACACACTCTTGCTGCTAGAACTAACACATTCTTCTTCACCTTCCAAGTTCCAGGCTCAGTTAAATTCAGCAATGCTGGGCTCCCTTAAGGAAGGTGGGTTCAAACCCAGGTGATGAGCTAATTGGCTGATGGTCTGCGAAAGCCAAATAGCCACTGATGATGAAGAATTCACATTAAATACAGTCAGGGCAGGTCTCGGTCATTAAAATAATGCTGATGTCAACACACCACAGGAAGATAGTCCAGGACAACCTCAACTGTAGTAGCTTTGAGTATTTCATATCAATACTCTCATTTAGACCTGGAATTATAACACCCTGTAGATAAAATGATGACACCCTACTAGCAGCCTACAAGAAAGAAAATGCTACTAGTCCAAATCCCAGCTTTCTTAAGGAAGCCCATAATTCCTGAATATAACCCGACTAATTTGTCCCCAAAACAAATCCATTGGGAAGGCCATTAAAGATCCACCATTTACAGTAATACAGCCTTGGGGTTAGGGTTAGAGTCTATTTTCTCATCTCACCTGCTTTCTACAGTGGCTGTGAGGATTAGAAATCACATAGATAAAGCTACTAAAGGAGAGCTTAGTGTATAGTAGGTGCTCAGTTAATGCTAACTCATATTATACTGGGAGAAGGAAACTATACCCAGGTTAACACTGCTGCTTTCAACTTCATGGCTTATTAACTATCTATATTTGCAGATTTTATGTTGTCAAAAAAGTATTCAAAAAATCAACAATTAGCTTTGGGAGAAACTATATATTAATAAATACAAGCTCAATTTACTGTTTTGCCAGAAGCAACAGATCTCATTTGATGTATTCATAGCCTCCAAGGAAAGCAGCAGCCATCTGTTAAATAAATAACTCATTAGGCGGAAAGCAAGTGCTTCAACCAAGATGAACTTAAAAATCTGCTGGAGACGACTACCATTAGCTGGCCAATGAACACAGGGAGCTACAAATAATTGAGGTACTGAGAGAAGAGAATTAAAAGAATCCTGCATGATGCAAGCTGAGATGAGAATCCAGACGAAAACAGGTTTAAACTTCAAGACATATTTAAGAAGAAAACTAAAAACAAGTTGCATTACAAGGTCATAATGACCTGGAACTCTAGACTAATAAAGAAATGAGTATTTTCATTTATATCAAACTGTCATTTTGCTTAAGTGGCTGGAGAAGAGGGGGACTTCAACGAAACTGAATATTCTGGTTAAGAGAAAGTCATTGTGTAGAATATATGTGCACTGCCAATGTCTAGACTCTCAGGATACAATCCATACCACTTAATAAAATGAAAAGGAATCCAATTTCATCTTTCCTGAGATAATACCGAAAGCACTTCAGGATCACGTGGGCTCCTTGAGAACATTAATTTCTATTGCTATTTTCAAAAAAATAAATCTATGCCATTAGTCTGATATTTGTCCTTCCCTAATCTGAGTGAAGAAAATTGTGCCTTTAACTTTCTGGTTGGCAGCTCCTCTTACATAGGAGTTAACTGTACTTTGGTGATGTTTCTCAGAGAAGACAAATGAAACAGGCCTAACTTCTGTTCACTGGGCAGCAATTCCTGCGAGGTATTGCCCTGGAGAGCCCACGGCCTGGCCATCAGCTCTGGGAAGGATAAATGGAGGTGGCACTTCTGTACCAGTGATCTCCAAAATCCCAGCTCCATGTTCCTTCCAACCCACAGCATCTGCCTTAACCCACTCTTTGTCTACCTCACTGCTAAGAACTGCCAAGTTGTGCTACATAGAGTTCAAACAGTCAGGAGTAGAGAAAAACAGCAAAAGACCAAGAGAGGACTTATTACAAGAGTTTCCAACAGGAAACACACATGATAGATGAATACCAAAATGGACACCAACAGGTACAACCTTTCATACGAAAATCCATTTAGGAATCCATCCCTTAGGGAAAATCCTTACAAAGACAGTGGGCATTAACATATCATCTACATGAAAATATGATGAATTCTGCTGTGGTTCAGATACAGGTCAGAGATCAGTAATGCAGGGCATCTTTCCTGTGCCCAACATCCAGTTCTCCCAAAGCACACACACCCACTGTGAATCCACTGACCCCAAGGCAATCATGCAGGATGGGAGAAGCATTAACCTGGGAGTTATGAGACCAACTGCCAATGCTGCCACTAACCAGGTAAGTTGGGGTAGCTGTCTTCTGTAGACTCAGCTTCCTTCTCAAAAGGGAGACAGGCAGGGGAAGAATTAGTATAGACTGTCACCAACTTGATTCAGTCAACTTTTATCTTGTGTCCATCACAGGCACAGCACCAAGCTTTAATTCAAAATCAGGAAGCAATTTTGAACACCTAGGCTATGACTGTATATGAGGAAAAGGTGCACAGGATGAGCTGATGCAAAGAAATATGGACTGAAAATCAAGAGTCCTGGGTTCGAATCATGAATCCTTTTTCTGCGTGGCTATGTGGGCTTTTTTTGGCTTCAGTTCTCTCATCTGTAAAATGAGACTGTTGGTATAGATAAATGATTCCTAACTGAGATTCCATGGACATCTTGGTTACATGGGTGGGATCTGGGGTGTTCACAAACCTTTCAAAATGTATGAAAATTTTTGTAGCATAGACATGTTTCTAGAGAGGAGGTGTAGAACTTTAATCACACGTGCAAAAGAGTTGCAGTTCAAAAACTGTAAAGCACACTGTCAGCGGGAATGTAAATTAGGATAGCCATTATGGAAAGCAGTATGGAGACTTCTCAAAAAATTAAAAATAGGATTGCCATATGATCTAGCAATTCCACTACTGGGTATATATCCAAATGAATTGAAATCACTATATCGAAGAGATATCTGAATTCCCATGTTTATCATAGCATTATTCACAACAGCCAAGGATATGGAATCGACCTAAGAGTCCATCAATGGATAAAAAGATAAAGAAAACATGATATACATACACAATGGAATACTATTCAGCCATAAATAAGAAGTAAATCTTGTCATTTGCGACAACATGGATGAACATAGAAGACATTATGCTACATGAAATAAACCAGGCAGAAAAAGACAAATACCATGTGAATTTACTCATATGTGGAATCTAAAAAAGTTGATTTCATAGAATTAGAGAGTAGAGTCATGGTTAGCAGGGGCTGGGTGGTTAGGGAAGGGGAGGTTGGGAAGATATTGGTCAAAAATACATAAAATGTACAGTTATACATGAGGAATAAGTTCAAGAGATCTATTGCATAGCATGGTGACTATAGTTAATGATGATAGAATGTATTCTTGAAAATGTTAAGAGAGTGGATAAACATTCTCACCAGAAAAATGGTAACTATGTGAAGTAATGCATTTGCTAATTAGCTACATTTAGGCATTCCACAATGTATATGCACTTCAAAACATGTTGTACATGATAAATGCATACAATTTTATATGCCAGTTTAAAACTGAATTTGAAAAATACTATTAATAACCACTTGTATAGATGAAATTTGTGGTCCCATCCAGCTCTAACATTCAATAATTCAAACAACAATACTGAAAAATGCAAAAATGACTACCCTTTGGGACAAAGAAAAGAGAAGCAGATAAACCAGTAACAGGTACCTAACCAGCCATCCTGATCATCCAGGCTTTGGCCCTTGGCCAATGGGCATAGTCTAGGGGTCTGGGAATCCCTGCAGCTGGCTGGATCTCCTGGCTGTCAATTGCCCACATTGACTGATTGTCAATCAATCAACCAGGAGGCAACGATTCTGCTTCCTTCCTTGCTGGGGGGACTTAGGGGTACTGCAGGTGGAGCAAGGAGAAGTGGTGGGTCTATATGCTATGCTAAGGGTTTGAGCCAAAGCTGCTCCACTTTGAGCAGCATGAACAGGCACCATTCTCAGCCACAGCTTGTACTCTACTATGTTGGAATCAGAGATTGGGGACATCCACACAATAGTTTGGAGCTCGCTCCTGAGCATACCTCAATGAAGGAAGTGTTTGCAAAACCACTGGGGAATGCAAATCAGATTGCAAGAGGAGAGCTGGGCGGTGCCATTGTTTTAGCCTTTTAGAAATATTAAAATGACCAATTATGTGGTCATTTGGTGTGTTTGTTTGAACCAGGCCTGCCCGAACTTCTAGACAGCAGTGCTTTCCTAGCTGAGGAAAGATCACATCTCCCCAAAGACAATACATTGTACAGTATTTATTTTCTAGAACCGTGCACTGTTCCATGGAATCCAGGCCTCCTCCCAGTAGGTTTCCATGACCAGAGTCTGACCTTATGTAATTCCATCATGGCCACTAAGTCAAGAGAAAAACAGAGAAGTGGGATGGGGGCAGGGGAGCCAAGTCTGTCCTCCTCTGCCTCAGCAGCAGCTCGAGACAAGTTGAAGAATTGGAATTCAGGAGCTGCCTTTCCTTCCCTTGGCAGAAATGGACTCCCTGGGAATAAGGGGCTCTTGGAAAACAGACTGGCGAGAGGGACGCTGTAGAAAGACTCAACTCTGAAGTCAAGCAAACCCATGCTCAAATTCTAGATGTTATTACCACTGTTTGATTCAGGCCAGAAAGTCACTTAATCTCTCTGAGCTTCAGTTTCTTCACCTGTAAAATGGGTACCACAATAATTTCTACTCCATAGATTGATGGTAAGGCTAAATGAGATAAGACAGAGCAATCACTTACATAGTTAGATAATTTTACTGCTGCTGCTGCTGTTGCTAGTATTATTACCATCAGGGCAGTTATTAAAATTACAGAGTCTGGGAAGTTCCTGGCACATAAACCAGGCCTACAGAAATTATTCCATGGCTGGCGGGATTTTTTTCTTAACCCTCAGCCCTAAGCAGCCTTGCCACCCAGCAAGAGTGCTCGAGACCTCCTGACCTGTCTCTTACCTTCCTTTTGTTGGTGGGATTGACATAGAGGTAACTGAGGACAGTCTTCAAGCCCACTTTGTCATTCAGCTTTTCATAGGTGGTACCATAATCCGTTGACCTGCAGATAAGAGAGAAGAAAAGAAAGGCAGAGATTGTTTTACCAAACGGGAGATTAGGTTTAAGGGGGAGCCAGCCTCTCCCTGACCGACCTGCACCTTTGTTCCCAAATCACATGAGTGCTTAAAAGTGTTCTCTAGAGATAAAAAGCCCCATTAACTTTAGAAGAGCAATTAGACTAATGCATGTGCTCACTACCCATGCTCCCCTCTGCTCCTGGCCTTTCTCGGAGACCTACTTTTCTGCCCTTTGTGAAGCTGGGCAATGAAAGGAGGTGCTGGAGAGCCCACCTGCCTCCCAGGTTTGTCCAGCCCTCCGGCTCTGCGTGGGGCTGTGGTGGGGCCACTGGGTGCCACCAGCTTTACACCAACTGCACTAAGCCTGAAAAAAGGGGACACTCAGAGGGGCAGGAAGTGCCCAAAGAACTTGTGGGGTCCAGTGGCTAAATGAGGCCACGAAAAGCAGAGGGTTTGATGATATACATAGGGGCAACCATGTGGGTTTGTCCAGGGGTAAAAGCTGGTGACGCAGAGATGCTTCCAGTTGTTCATCTTTCCAATGACCCTGCTGGCCCCCTGCCCTTGCTTTGGGCCTAATTTCCAGTAGTCTCACCTTATGCCAAAACCAGAGTAAATGCTCAGAGAACAAAGGCAGGCCACACCATTGCACCTCCCTTTCCACAGTGCCCTTCCGTGTGGAGGAAGGAGAGAGGGTGCCAGACAGGGGACTTCAAGCAGCCAGCCGCCCTGCCACACTTTCCACCTACCCCACCCCTGCCCCACACATACCTCCTTCCCTTTGCCATACAGTACTGCTGGGTTCTCACCTCCGCTTTCTGTCACCACCCTCCTGGGCTAGACTCACAAAGCTTCTCCTACTTGGGCTTTAGAGGGCTCAGGGGTCAATTATTTTCTCTGTGGCCCTTGACCTTGTGGGTGCCTGAATTCTGCCTCAAACTCAGTCCCAACTCTGGCTCTGGGCCTTGACTTTGGCTTCCTGGTGCCTTAGTTCTCCCAAGCTCCTGCCTTTTCTCCAAGCCTTTTATCCACCTTCTAACACTAATCTGGTATTGCCCTGGCCCACAGCTTGGCATCAGAAGCCTAGTAGCAAAACTATGTGATGGCCTTTAAGAGTCATCCCCACCCCCACCCAACCTGGCAGATTCCTGGTCTCCAGGCCTGGCACGAAGACCCTCCCTCGTCTCCTCGCCTCACTAGCCCTCACCATCATCATCACCATCACTCAACTCTCCTCTTCACCAGAACAACTTTCCCCACCGTTGGACACCCAAGGCACACCATGCATATCTTGTCTAACTCTTTGATAGTGTCATGACTAATTTTTTTATGTTCTGTTTTCCTAACTACAATCTAAGCTCCTCAAGGACAAGGAACTTTGCAGAACACTATGGTAAGAGGAAAGAACATGAACTTAGGGCACACCAAAATCTCTGTTTCATTCCTGCACCTGCAGCTCTCTCATTGCAGGATGATATGCCAGTTACTTACCTGGCTAGAGCTTCAGGTCTCTTACCTGAAAAATGGGAGTAATTTAATCTCACAAGGCATTTGTGAGGATGCAAAAATACAACAATGGGAAACCTCCTAACAGGCTACAGGTACACTAAAATGTTAAAAAAAATAAATAAAAATTAAAAAGCATTCATTCATTTTTCCCCAAATTGCACAGAACAAGACTTTACACATTATGCACACTCAGTGAGTTTACTGAATAAACAAATTTTCAAATTTGTATTTCAAATCCCTCCCTGGGCTACTGGCTCCTCGTGGTCATCACTTATGCTGACTTTAATAATCGGTCACCCAAAAATCTGACTTCATATCCTCTGTCTCTTGTCAACCCCAGGCATAGAAGCTCTGGTACTCTCTTGGTCTTTCTCTTTGCCTTTATCTCTGGAACCGAGCTCAATCTCCATGTCTTCATGATTCTATCTCCGAAATAACTTAGATCCCTGGTACTTTCCCATCCTCACACCCACGCAGTGGCCCATACATCATCGTGTTTGCAATGCCCCCCCAAATGGATGCTCTTCTTCCAATGCTTTCCCCCCACACACCCATCCTCGATGCTGTTATCACGTTATATTTCAAGCACCCATATCTATCCCCTCACTGCTTGGTACTAGTTACACATTGCCTGCCCCCAGTCAAGCTGCAGATTCCCAGCTCAGTATCGTAAAATCTGGCTTCAACCTCCTTTTCTGGACCCATTTCCAGCCATTTGCTCCACTGCTCCTTTCTCACCAGCCTCACTAAACTTCCCTAAACACGTCTTGCACTCTCGCTGACCTCCACTGTGCACACAGCATTCCCTTTGCCTGAGCGACCTGTCCCCTGCCTGTTCTCCTTGGTACATTTCTCTCCAACTTTCAACATCTAACTCCAATATCACCCTTCTTCCAACTTCCCCAGGGGAATATTAATCACAATTTCTTTTGTGTTCTTATATCACCTTGTCCCTGTTTCTATTTTACTCTTTGTCCTGTTGTTTTGGTTCTACTGCCTTTATTCTGAGATCTCTTCCTTCACTATAACTCCCTGAAAGCAAGAACCATTTCTTATAAGAGCTCCAATGGCTTGCACTATGGCTGGTGCCATTCAGCCAAATGCTGAATATATTTGTTTCTGTATTGCTTTACTTTGTTTTTATTCACAAGAATGAATGGATTAATTAATGAACTTGTCCAAACCTATTCACAAATGTTTAAGCAACCACTAATGTGGTGTAACTCAGCATGTAGCCATTCCTGGAAAATACACTTGACGCTTTAGAGTCTGGCACAACTGGTGCAGACTGGTCAGTCCTGCAGCATCTAGTGACAGGGAAGGATCTCTAATTTACTCGTACTAGATTAAGGTTAAATGATCAATCACCCTAAGCAACTATCCTACACAAAGCAGGAGAGGAGACAGACCATGATCTCCAGAGGCTGTCATTTGCATTTTTATTAAAACAAGTAAAACATTTTATACAGTTAATTACTTCTTAATTCTATACTCTTGAAGGCATGAAGGCAGCATGGTATGAGGAAAGGACATTGAACTTGGAGTCTACAAGTCTAGACTCTAGAACTAATTTTGAAATGTACCCTAACTGTTACCCTGGACAAGCCACTTCTCTAAGGTTGTTAAAGAAAAAATTATTCTGACACTCTCTAAGATGATCGGGCAGACTGTATTTAGAACTCTGCAACAGATATAGGGACCACTGCTAGGGGTTTTACAACAGGGGTTTTGAGAGATAGGACTCAACTCCAAACACAACAAGGAAAAGTTGTAGTTTTTCCCAAAAAGCAGGGTGGGGTTCAGTAGATGGAAAATCACAAAGAGGGTTCAGGTAAGTTTTGCTCACTGACCTAACAGGGTTCCTGCTAGAAGCAGGCCAGGGTAATGGTACCACCTGGAAGACAGTGAAGGATGAGGACTTTGATCAGATGTAAAGGCTGACACATTCTGGCTAAAGTGATTTAGCAGGAATCTTGCTAAAATTGGGCTCTTGAGAACACGCCCAAGGATGGACCTACTTAACAAAGACCCCAGAGGAGCCCTGCTAGAATTTGGTGAAGGAGAGGATCATTACTAAGCCCCATTCCCTCGTTAACATATGCGGTTTAACTCAAATAACCATAAGGCCCCTTCTGGACCTTAACTTTTATTATCACACCAACAGAGTGCTAAGCTGTTTTACAACCAGCAACTTTTCCTCATATTGTCTATAGCAAAAAATCTTATATGAGCTAAATTTCCAGGGCTCCCTGTATGACTAATGTCACAACGAACTTCCTTCCAGAATCCAAATGACCCTCATGGAAGGTAACATGCTTATCACCACACATGGTCTCTCTTTTGCAAGCTGCATGACACAGAGATTCACAAAGACTTTGCTACCTTCCAGAAGCAGCCAGTGAGAGTGGGGACTTCCCAACAAAGGACGCTCTCTGCGGCTCAGCCTCCTCCCTGCCTCCGGCAGTTTCTGCTCCTTCACTGTGATGGAAACACGTCTCGCTCAGTGAAGACACCTCAAGGGGCACTGAGCGTGTCTCGATGCTGTCCTCTCCAACATGGATGCTGCACACTGCAGTGACCACAGCATTCTGAGACAGCTTTGCCCACAGACCACGCTCTTACAAGAAAGCAAACTATCCTCCACCCTGTGACTCAACATCTGCCAGTGGGAGCACTCAGAGAAAACAGGCTCATCTCACTAATTTTAACACTAGCCTTTCAAATCTTGACACTAGGGTCATAAAACTGAAATGTTCAGGGCACCCATGCTGGAACCATGACACATGCACTGAGCCCGTCCTGGGCCTGGCACTGTATCAGTCACATCCTGCTTGGCTGGGTGCACCCAGCTCACCTGGAAGGCACACGAGAGATGACCACAGCCACCACGGGGCTCATGTCCCATGGCTCAGGTTACTCCAGCTCCAACCCACTGCCGTGTCTGTGCACACATGTGTGCATGTGCCCCCTCCCAGCCCATTCTTTCTTTATAAATTTTTTCCAGGACACAGAAAAGCACAATGAGCATTCGATCACATGGCCACTACTAGATTTAACAAGCATCTGTGTTCATAAACAACATATAACCTTTTTGAGTGTTTTAACATATGCATAAATGTTATCATACAGAATATATGTCCTGTAGCTTGCTAATTTCACCCAATTTTCAGTTTGTGAACTGCATCCCTGTCAACACACCCAGCTATAATTCATTCATTTTGACTGCTGCCTTCTGTTTCAACTTATGAATAAACCACCATCTATTTGTCCTTTCAACCACTGGTAAGTATTTTTGTTACTTTTTTCTTTCTCTTAAAATTTGCTATTAGAAACAACATTACAATGAATATTCTTAGACACGGCTTCTTGTGCTTTTGTGAAGGAAAGGTTTTCTAGGGAGACATCTCCATGTGGAATTACTGGGTCGAACTCTATACATCACTCTGACTTCCCAGGTTATGAATGACACTTTCTC